AGCAGGTAATATTTGTCCGCCGTTGTCTTGTTATGTACCATGAGATCTGCTAAGTCACCTCGCATTTCTTCATTGCACTCATGAACGGCAGAAACCGCAGCCTTTCTGAATGAAGTTGCACCACCCATAGATGCTTTTTTCCCAAACACCTTGCCCCAACATGAGCCAATTTGGGCACCAACTTGGGATGAATCTAGTGGGGTGCCTCTGTAACTCAAAAAAACTATGGGTTGGCATGCATTGACATCTGGTATACATCTCCGTAATTTTTCAATGAACACTTTCATATAATTATGAATCGACGACGACAAGACGAGGTGTGCTGGCCCATGGGTGGTAAACGTCTTGTGCTTCTTCACCCTAACAACATAGCAGTCATCTTGCTGTGTGGCATTTTGAAATTCCTCCATGGTCATGTTGGCAATTGGACCCGATCTGCTGCCATTGTTAATACAAATCAGAGTCATGAGGTAGTCTCGCACAATGGTGTATTCTGCCTGTGATACCACAGAGACATCGGGATCTGTCTGGAATTCCCCAAGTACTTTAACTGCCTTCCGTGCAACCTCTGAAATGTCAAACTGCTTTACCTCTTCTGGCGTCTTTAAGGTTTCAAAATCCTCTACACGTTTTTCCCAAAAACGATTTTGGGCCATCTTCCGAGAAGACCTGGCCCATAACTTGACCTGTTCAGATAGACTAACAAGTTTTCCCTCATTTACATTCATCTCATCAAATCTGGCTGAACATTCTGTACGCATGTAAATAAAGAATTGGTTAAGGGACCCAAGATATGATTTCACAGTACCAGGTTTCTTCTCTTCTTCAATGATTCTTAGCCATTTATCTCTAAGCAATGACTTGGACAATAGGCTTGATATTGACGGAGCATTTGGGGTGATGAACTTCATAACCATTTCCACCTGTCGCATACACTGTCTTGCACATTTTTCATCTTTACGGCCACCATCTGGACCCGGCCACCATCTGGTCACGCGAACTAAGTCACGCAAAGCAAACACAAGTAAATATGAAAGTGGGGAAATATACCATTTATCTAATTGTTTGATACCATCATGTCTCAGTTGAGATTCCTTTAAACGCTCGTCATAAGTTTGCTTTTTTTCACGATAGGTAGCCACTCTTTGTCAGTCGCTGGTTCATTGACACACAGACCAAGTTCTGATGTTTCATCTGTAGTTTGGTCGTCTATATTCGCAGCCACTTGTTTCTTTATTATATATGGACTGGGAGCATAATTCCAATCTGAGTCGTCGCTTTGATAGATATTACTTTCCGCATCTGAGCTTTATGAGGACATTTTCAGAAGTATTGTAAGAGACAAATTACTTGAATCATTCTACGAATTGATTCCTAATTCAAGCCAGTATTTAAATTGTCCAAATTATAACGCTGCAAATTTAATCATGATAGAGATCAGATCGTTTGGCTGGGTTTTTCAAAGGTTTGCCAACATCGTGAAAAGGAGGTAGCTGAAGTAACAGAAACAACTGAAGGGAGTAATATAAAACTTGATCCATCAGAATGTGGCCCTCTTTCCTACGTCGCAGGGTATATAGTTTCCAAATTATACCAAAAGGCTAGACCTAAGAATTGGAATGAATGTGACAGTGAGTTGCAAGTTCTATTACATGTTTTAAAGTCAACTGAATCTGACAATAACTTTATCCTTGCTCGTAGCAGAGGAGGTCTTGTTTCTCCCAGCCATCATTGCTGAGATTTGCTTCAGGAAAAATATTGATGTGGAACATGTGTTACGAAATGTACTAGTGGATATCATCTGTGAGTCAACATTAAACTCTCCAGTTGTGAAATCACTCTGGGATAACATTGTTCTAGAATTTGGTATAGACGAATCTACTTCTACACAACATTTATGTCTGGGAAATATTGTTAAATTGTATATTCGTGTTTGGTCATTTTCCTATGCTAGGGACTATATTAGCAAATATAAAATAAAAGAGAAACAGATGAAAAGTAAGGCATTACAAAAGGAATTAAAACAAGGCAAAGACCATTGAGTCCCTTTAATTAAAAACGTTTTGTTTATATATTTGAGCAGTTGATGGGAATATGTGTTAAAAGGCATTATATTTTACCTAATAGCCTTTTTAAGTGGTGCCTAATGTTTCATGCTTTTATGATTGACAATTACTCAAGCCTAAGAATGGCAATGAAAAATTAGGGATATAATCATTTGCCTCTAACACCCTAAAATACATAAACCCATAAAGAAGAGTATTGGGTAAAGCACGAAGGAATAATTGTATTTTCTTATTGCAAATATATTTCATTGTAGAGTTCGTCATTCCACATTAGACAACTTTGACTTCCATAACCAGAATTATATAGGCAGTTACACGCAGTCTTTAAAAGGTGCGGAGAATCAGCAAAAAAGAAAATGAACCATGATGGTGCAAAATTATTGGGTGTTTTATACACAACATCACAGTTCACTTCCTTAGCCAGCTTGGGGTAAAGTCGAAAGAACTTTCGATTTGGAGAAGCACCATCATTTACTGCTGCACACACACGAAGACTGATTGACACCTCCAGCACAGCAACAGTTCTCCAGAAGAGAGGCATTATCTGGAAGGATGTGACATTTCTTGTGAAGAAGTATGCAATGATATGCTTCAAATCAGTGCATAATCCCCTCACGAGAGATGCCAAGGCATGCGTTGCAGTTGGATCTTCATCAGCGAGACTGGCGAAATTGGTCATGGGGTCACCCAAGTCGATAAAACCCATAAATTCCCCAGACACTTTATCAAAAACCAGGTTTGATTGAATCTTCATCTCATCCATAACAACTGCCACATATCTTTGTACAGGAGTGAAAGATGAAGTTTTTTCTTTTAGAGTTTGGACATTGTCTTTATTGATACCAGCTATTGGTTTGAAATAGTTTTTATAGTCTCTAAGGACTCTCTCACTGGGGAGGATCCGTGGCTCCGAGGCTCTGTCGACCCATGATTTTGAGAATGTCCTTCTTCAAGCTTTCGCTAATGCCAATTCCTTGTTCCTCAATCTTTGTCCACATTTGCTGCAAGCGGTCTTCAAGGTCTTTTACTTGCAACCTTGTATATCTTACTGTTGCCAGCAGCTTGTCTGGTCCACATGATTGTAAAGATGCCTTAGGTTTAGCTGGGGTTGCAGATGCTCTACTCTTCTTTCTTGCAGATCTCTTCATTGTGTTGGAGGCAGTTGCACAAGGTTGACAGGATTCATTTGAATGTTTGACATCAACAAGGACATCACATGCAACTGATCGATAAAATAGTGAAACTTCAAAATGTGCTTCTTCAACTTCAACTTGTGGCTGGGTTTTGATCAGGATTTCCAGTTAGATTGGTGGCAACAGAAATAACATCATTGTCTTTAATTATTCCTTGGCAAAATCTAAAGTTTTCTATAGTTTGTAACAGTTCGAGTAGGTCCAAATACTTGATAGAACGTTTTTGTTCTTTATAAATTACATGGTCGTCAGGCAGGGGCCAGTTGAATACAAAGATAGTGAACTCCAAGGATGAGTTCATAACGACATTGTAATTGGGAGCACAATGAATGTTGTCGTAATGCTCAATGCGTATCTCAACAGCAGTATCGGCTTTCCTTACTAGGGTTCGGCGTTTTGGTTTACTTGGAGCTTTGTGGCTTTTCTTTGGCAGGTTTTCTGTTAGTATGCTTCCTGTAACTAATGTTTTCCTTATTCCTAAAATGTAAATTAACTAGTTTAATTTATACAGTGAGCAATCTAATATTCGCAAACTATGATACGCTCTTTATGCTAAATATTATTATGAAAAAACAGCTGTCCCTAAGACAAAGGTAATTTACAACGAAAATATATGCGACAAATACTTACCAGTTACGATACATTCTGGCTTGAAATGCTGCTCACAAACAAAGAAATAGTTTGCCTCAATTCTCTGTTGTGGTTCCGCGGTTGTTTCTCTCGTTCTTAGGATCAAGCGAAACCATTCTTCACGAGCCTTCCACTTCAATTCTTTCGCGTGCTTGCCATCTGTAGACTTAACTGAAGGGATTCTAAACAGTGAAAGCTTGTGCTTTCCGCTAGTTGTGCAGCAAAAATTGCCGCCACCCATACGTTTAAAGAATTCTCATATATTTTTGGTTGACTTGGGTTGAAAATTTGCCCAACTTGTATCCTGTTTAATTTCTTTTTGGCAAGGCAGCTGCTCCCCCCACCCACCTAGTACACCTATGACTACAGTCAACTAACCTAGTACTTTCAATTTGATTATTATGCAAGTGTTCAGATTGATGTATGAAAAGAATATTTAAGGGACCGGTCATTATTTATACCCAGGGTTGGGGCCGAAGAGAAATTATTTTAACTGCCAAAAATTCACCTACCCAACCCAACTTGAACCAAAAATTTGGATACCCCACTATTTTTAACTTTAAAAAATTTTTACCCAACCCTGGCAGAAATGCTGGCCCGAGTGATTTTTCTTCACAACATTAAAAAACATGGCGGCCAGTGAAAACAAATTTGAAGCCTTTCTCCAATCGATAAATTTGGCTGTGGAACATCTTGAAAGATTTAAGCCGACTGGCTTTGACAACATTGATTTGATTAAGTCATTGGAGCCGGGGGAACTGCAGAATATGTTTGATATGGTGGGATTAGCAGCGAAACCGGGGCATGTGTTAAAGTTTAAGAAGGCTATTGCTCAACTCACTGCACCGACACCACAAAGAACTGGCAATGTTGACCAAAGTTCTGTGCCTCGGAAGACAGTTCAAAAAAGTAAGTTTTTAAAAATGCATATTATTAAATTAATACACTATGAAGACTATTTGTTTTGGGACAATCATGGAAAAGTATTTTTAAATCAAAAAAGGCTCTCCATTTTCATACATGAATACTTAAATATATTATTGATCATTTCAACTTTCAACGTACATGTCCACATATAAACTAGTATATTTGAAATACAGTAACGACTGTATATTAAGCTTTAATATTGTTTAAATACGTTTTCCAATACCAGAAAGATATGAATAAAACATCTCCATATTTTTTTCAAGAGAAGGCCCCTACCTCTTGACTGAAGACCTTTGCTCATGTGTGTGAGAAGTGAGACATTTACAATAGCTGATATAAAGGAATATTCAAAACACCTTTGCCAAATATTTAATATAATATATTTTCTTTCTTTTAATAATAGCGATTGCATTTGTTGGTGGGAAATTTGTCTTGGGCGAGAATGCTATAATTATGGATAAAGAGCCCTGGCAAAAGTTTACTATACCAAATGTAAAATCCAAGAGACTGATTTATCACAACCAGCTGACCAAGGAGATTTACCTCTCAGCATACACACCTAAGCAATCAGGTTTCCAGGCATATCTGAATGGTCAACGTCAATTCAGGTGGAATATGAAATGCAGCATTGAGAAACTTGCTGATATTGTTTCCAGTTACAAATCTGGTTTAATCCCAAAAGAAAATATCGATTGTGATCGTTACAGAGAGTTCCCTGCAGATGTCAAGATGGAGGATGTGAATAAGAGTCAAAGAGCAATTCTGCATATCAACAATACATAGTGTGAAATGAGAAAGGAAAATTTTGAATAGAAAAAAGAACTGTATTGGGAAGATATGGAAGCCAAGAAATGGGCTAGCAATGAAATTGCTTTTGTTCTACCAACAATACGACAGATAGAGGAGTTGATAAATGAAACTGAGAAAATTGCTAATGATGTGGAACATGTTAGTAATCAATTTATGAAAAGATTTGATTCAAGCACTGTTCGTGAGAGTGAGGAGAAACGTAAACTTAACAGAGCAAAGGAGCAGAGGTCAAAGGCAAAGAAAAAGAGACAAACTGTCAAAATGTCAAAACCAGTCAGGCTTAATGTAGAGAATGATTCATCAAGTGATGATCCAATTGATATTCTTTAAACAGATGATGAATTTTAAGTATATTTTGTTCAATTTCATATCTTCAATATTACATTGTTGTTATTTTGAAAAATTGTTACAATTTTCTTTTTACCCAACCTTGAAAGAATGAGATTTTTTCTTTACCCAACCTTTTATGTCATGGATTTTTCAGTTACCCAACCATTTTCTCTTCGGCCCCAACCCTGGGTATAAATAATGACCGGTCCCTAAGGCTGTTAGATTGTTTTATTTCATGAAACCTCAGCTAATAAGGTGATGCATGTCATAGTCAAGTATGCACGATGATGTGTATGTAGATGATGTTCATGCATGGACAAACACCTCCCTTCAGATAAAAATAAAATTTGAGTCCTAGACACTTACTTTCTGATGAAAGAAAATAAGGCCATGGGTACAAGCACATAGTAAAGAAAGCATTTCTTTCTGCTCAAAGGCACAACCCTTTCCAAGAAGTAGTTGCCATTTTGATATTACTGGGAAAAATATAACCATCTCTAGCTGTTTAGACTACCAAAAACTCAGGACAACTGCTAACCTTGCACATGCAGTGACCTTTGACCACAGAAATTTTGAGACCTAATTAGGTCTAATATTTCTGTATGGCTTTGACTCAGAAAAGGGTACTCCTGTTTTTTACTAAAATCTAATATCTGTAGTCTCTAGTCTGTGGCAAAGAAATAAATCATGCAAATTTGTCATGGTAAATTCTATATTGATATTAAATGAGTGACCTTGTAATGTTTACATGCAATACTTTCAAATAGATTTATTTATTTGTATTGAGTTTATTAAATGAACAAAGAGTGAACCCAAATCTATAATACAACAAAATATAAACTTCAACACATATAGAATCCTTGCTTTAAGTAGAAGATACCATATGTATCCATGAGAAACAGACCATTAACAAAATGATGGGGAATTCTTGAAATACAATAATTCACTTTATTACAACAATAAGTTTTTCCCATTAACAACTAGAATATACTAGAGCATACCTGAGGACTTTTTTACTTTCTTTCATTTTGCACTCCTCCCCAACCACAATAAGACAGCAATAAACAACTTATTATTTTGTTGACTGCATGACCATTATTAGAATATTGAAGTTCAGTAACTTTATGCTTTCAAACCAAACCAGTTAACTTTAACTCAATTTAAATGTAAATTGTACATTGATGGATACATTAAATTATATAGGATCATTAATTGTAATTGTCAGGTTTTCAAACTTTAACTCAACCATCAATTTTAATTGTACATTGATGGATACATATGCAGGGTGTATAAAAAAAAGTTAGACAATTTTGAAAGTGCTCTCAATTCCACAAATCTGTTCATGAAACTTAATTTTTTATATGTATGGATTGTTTCAGTACTTGAAATATAGAAAATATAAATTTTTTTTTCTGTCGCATTAGAAGGGTTTAATCTTGTTCGGAGGGATAGACGTGAAACAATTCACGGCGGAGTTTGTATGTTTATTAGAGATACGATTAAATTTACTGTCCTCGACGATCTGGACGATAGTTCTTTCGAAGTACTGTGGGTTAAACTCCCAATGCATCTCCCAAGGGGCTTCAGCTGTATTGTTGTTGGTGTTGTTTACCATCTGCCAAACGCTAACAATTTTGCTATGTTGGACTATTTAGCAAAAAGTTTATCATCAATAGAATCTCCTTTTTCCAACTGTGGCTTTATGATCGTTGGAGATTTCAACGGATTAAGTACTACGCGCTTACAAAGGAGTTTGGCTTGAAACAACTTGTAAATTTCCCAACTAGAGGACAAAATACACTCAATTTAATGCTTATGAACATGAAAGATTATTATGAAGTACCCAGCCAGCGTCCCCCCTTTGGGCTATCAGATAATATGTCAGTAGAAATCAAAACAAAATCCAGGGACCAACTTCCGAAAACCAATTTCAGAATCAAATCGAGAGATTTACGTCCAAGAAGTTGCCTAGCTATGTGATCATACTTCCAAGCTGTTAATGTACCAACTATTGTAGACGCCATGGAGTCCTGTGAGGAAAAACTTTCTTGTCTCGAAAAGATCATCACGACAGGATTAGACTTTGTCCTACCAATTCGCTCGAAGAACGTATGTACAACTGAACCGCCGTGGATTACATCTATCCTAAAGCAACTTTATCCCCCCTTTGTATCTCGAAATAACATTTCTAAACCTCTACAACAGCTATATGGGACACCCGACGAAACTAGCTTAGCCAACATCATTAAGGCTTGATTTCAAAAGGGGGTACCTTTTTACACACCCTGCGATATGAATTTGGATATTCATGCCTCCACAGACTAGGGATTTAGTTGTCGACTACTTTTAATCTTCGCGCTATTTCGGTTACTAAATCAGTATTTGAGTGCCAGACTGTGGAATCCTTTATCGAACTTATTTAGTTGTCGACAACTAAATCTCTAGTTTCCGGAGGCCCTTATTTTTTGCTGTAGCTATACTAATTTATAGAACAATTACATCAATAACTTTCCACATTTTATCTTGTGCATTTTGCTCACTTAGGCATGATTCTCATTGATCACCGACATGTATTATTGTTACATATCTATAGTGTCAAAATTAAACTTTTCTAGCTTCCTATTGGACAAGAGGTCAACACGTGGCGGGCGATTCACAATTTTCCTCAGTGATTTCAGTTTAATAAATCATCATGATTGAAAATTTGGCCTTGTACTCAAAATTTAGTCTAAGAATTTGTTAAACTTTTTGTCATTTCGTTTTCATTTTGACACTAGAAATCACTTTACAGACACTTCAGAAATAGGTACAGTCTCACGTCAACAAAACACGGTATCAGTAAATAAATATTAATTTTTAGCTTGTGGCAGAGAAAAATTATTCAAAATAACCGAAAAGGTTATAAAAAAACAATAGTTGTAGCCAACGGTCGATGACCAATGAAAATCAGGCCTTAGTTTGTTAGCCATGTTTAACATGTTTGCAGAGTCCATTCTGTTCACCTAGCCATTTTTGCCCATGGTGCCATGGGGATTTGATGCAACTTATAACATGTTAAATGAAGTAATGATCATCTAAAAACAAATGTCATTGTTCATAATACATAACTGATTAAAATGAAATCTAAGCCAGAATAGCAGCCGGTTTCCTTCAAAAAAGTAAATTGCCTGTGTA